GTAAGTATTTCTCTCTCTTCGTTCCCCCGTTTCCATTCTATTTTATACTTTTACACACGCTATCTCCATCGACTCATATTTTTACCGACAGCGTTTTCTCTCTTTCTCTCTCTCCTCTGCCACCCTCTCTTTCTGTCTGTCTATCTCTCTCTGTCTCTCTCTCCCTCTCATGTTCATGTGCGTGTGTTTACTAATGGATGACATGTGCTTCAAATTGGGAAATTGGTAGACTTATATTTTTCCTTAGTATATTTGTTGATTGATTTTACAATGTCACCAGTATTGTTTCAAGATTCACTATTATTTCTTTTTTTTATTATTGTTCAACTGTTAAGAAACTTATTATCATTAGCTCGCTTTATTCGTGTCTCGTTAGAACGTTTATTATGTGTGTCTGTATATAAAGTACGATACTTCCATTTCAGTGTATTTCTTTTTTTTACGAGTGGTCGAAAAACGCTTGTCCAAACAAAGAGGGCACAAAAAGTATTGTAAAAAAACACAAGCGATAAATCCTGCATTTAAAGGTCAAAAACGTTCTTTCTCAGTGATTCGATAACGACACGAAAAAAAGACAATGTCTCCGAACAAAATATACCTACACGCGAGTCTCTCTCCGCCATTTAATTTTCCACTGTGCCGAGCACATGCTCTCGTCTACATAAGGCGAAACAAGCGTGTGTTTTTTATCGAGCGTCTAATCGTCTTTGACGTTATTTAAAACTAACCTCAAAAACTGCAGTGTTTACGCTCTTGATTTTGTTTTTTGAAGTAAGATTTCGCGCTTAGCGTAAAGAAAATTCAACGGAAAGGAGGCGTTAGAGGAGGAAGCAGGCGACGCAATACAATTTGACGAATCAGCGCAAAGTAACATACAACCACAAATAGTAAACAACGACACACATTTTCGATCACAATTTTCTCTATTTGCTAATTGATATCGCTGCGAGTTTACTAACGAAACGTATGTGCACTATCTTTTCTATTCAAACAAAAAATCCAGTATATATAAATCAACATGCCGGAATTCTCATGCAACAGCAAAAATCACAAATGTTCGGAACAATGTCGTCAACATTTGTACAACACAAAGTTCCATGCTCTCGTAAAATAAAAAACGAGTCGAAGGAAAAACATTTTTCCCGGCTGGAGACACATGAACCCACGTGATGAAATTGAAACGACTCTCATGACGATAAAGAGGCAGCACTTTTACCGGCGCACACACATATTGCCTGCATTTGTGTGTATGTGTGTGTCCTCGTCAGAGAGAGAGAGAGAGAGAGAGAGAGAATACGCGAGACTCTATAAAAAAGAAAAGTCGTTCGTTGCGGTGAGAGGTGTCGCGAGAAAAATTGGGGCCAGCAATCACCGAGGGCACACTCGTCCAATCAAACGTAATATACACGCGCGCGTGCAGCCAGAGAGAAAGAGAACGAGCTTGTTTTTATTGTTCGAACTTGTCGGAAATAACAGGCCTTGACTCTCTCTCTCTCCTCTCTCTCTCGTGTTGTCTCTTTATCGCCGTGGAGAGAAAGACCGAAGGAGAAAATGTGCGAGAACGCATGTGGATGCAATCGCTCATTTATTAGGCGTTCGCTCTCATCTGCATGCGTGTGTCTGCTGTAAAAGTGGAACGCCCGGATTTATTTCGGTGTGGCCGACGCACAAGCTTTTTCAACTACGCACGTTCGAGAGAGAGAGAGAGAGAGAGAGAGAGAGAGAGAGAGAGAGAGAGAGAGAGAGAGAGAGAAGAAAACATGCTTTATTCCAAGAGACGAATTGCAAGTAGTTTTATTTATAAAATTGCCGAGCTCAAGTATGTAAATGTGCAACGACAGAAAATCAATAAAAGCCGCGTTTTCACATAAAATTCTCACAGTGGCGGCGAAGACCATAAATTAGCGCATCCGGCATATCAAACGCATTGTCGCTCCGATAAATCAATACGAGTTCTTGTATTTCTTTATTTCAAATGCAACAACTGAATTACTAGCGTATGTATATCTATAACAATCAATTTCGTATTCTTGGGTTGTAAAAAATTGAACTCCATATTGTACGATTTTTTTCTTCGAGCTGCCAGATAATGTTCTGAGATAACGAAGAGAGAGAGAGAGAGAGAGAGAGAGAGAGAGAGAGAGAGAGAGAGAGAGAGAGAGAGAGAGAGAAATACATTACGGAGGATTCCCGTAAAGTCTACACACTAACTGATAAGCGCACGACTTGAATTATCGATGCGCACTTGTACGGCCTCCAATGTCGTTGCATCTCTCTCTCTCTCTCTCTCTCTCTCGCCAACGCGAGTGTAGTAGTTTTTTACAATGAGAACAAAAATAGACATTCGATGACTCGTCGACGTCGACTCTATCTATATATAATAACCTAATTTTTTTGCCGGTTGCAGCTGATTAATATAGTATGCGTGAATGGAGCAATGCATTTTTACGGAGGGGAAATGGCAAATATTGACGTGTGTGGGTATTCGAGAGATTAAAATGTTAATTCGCACGTCGTGGATGGCGCAATCGGTCTTTGAACTGCATGCTCTATTGTTGCAGGAATATTAAGAAATTCAATGAGCTACGTGTACATATGCTAATCTATACAGCCGCAGTGCACGACAGCTGATAATGGCGATGCGCGAAATGTTGATGAGAAAAAGCGCGCTTGTATTGTTGCATTATTGAATTCTCTTTTTCTTACTTACCCGTCTGACGCGCGACGGGGGTCAGGCAAAAACTTGGATTTTATCAAATGTTCGTTCGGCGGCACTTTAATTAATGGACTGCATTTATTAACATTTTCGCAATTACGCAAAACGATTGATATACTCAATATTAATTAGGAACACGAATGATACAGAATAAACATGTTTCTATTTTTCATTCAGTTATAACTGCGTCTCTATAACGATCTAGCAACAGAATCGATTCTCAAAGGTCAAAGGCTTGTAAACAAAATAGCCACTTATAAAAAGTTAGTGTGCTCGTCGTTAACCCTCCATTATATTCCTGGTAAGATGGAGTGTATTGGGAAAATTAAGATTGTTAAATTTAATGAGCCTGTGAAAAAAAATAGAGAAACCAAAAGAGCTACGCAGATGAGTTCCACATATCAGATTATTTTTTCTATGACAAAAGAAATGGATTAATCTAAGTATGATGGTTGCAAGTGATCAAACCGGCGAAACTTTGCAATTAAAAATCTGAAGAAATGTGCAGCGACAGCAGCTGAAAACATTCCGCAAGTAGCGATTTCTCCGAACAAGAAAGTGTGAAAACGCCAACAACACGCTGGAATGCTGCGGCGATTATTAGCATAAACCCGCAAATTTTGCACGCTACTTTGTATCTGTGATCGTGAATGCAGGCTCAGGGGTCGACCGCCGCGGCATGTAGCGATGACCGATGCTCCTTTGACCCTCGAGTTTCAAACAATCGGCTCTCGCTACTGTTGCTACACGGAAAAGGGAAAGCCCGATTGGCGAATCCTCCACAGGCAAGATTTAACTACTCGCCGTGGCTACAAATCACAGCTAATCTATCCACCGACGTCCGACAAATATAAGAACAAGCCGGTAGGTCTGCGTCGCGTAAACAAACGGCGAAGGCACGTTGAGAATATGTTGACTCTGCATTGCACGTTCCGACGACTGGCGTTTGTGGAAGGCGGGCCAGGCAAGTCAATTTTTGGCCGGCCCTCGTCCGTGAACCCGATTCTATAGTGACAGCAGGAGAGAGCAGCAAACGAGCGCAGACGCGAACTTGATTGTTCGCTACAAATTGGCAGCACTCGCGTGCTCACGTGCTCGCGAATTGGCGTGCTAATTAGGACGTATCACTTTCACCTGGCGCGAGATTTCGGCATTTCTCAGCGTAATTTCCTCCAGCTAATAGAAATTCACGAGGTTTCTCCAGGCGGCAAGCCGATTTCCTTCTTTTGTCGCTGTCTCGGCTCTGAGCTCGCAGCGCCGCGGGCTTTTGGCCTCGCGCACGCTCTCTCCTCTCTCTCTCTCTCTCTCTCCTCTCTTCTCTCTCCTCTCTCCTCTCTCTCTCTCTCTCTCCTCTCTCTCTCTCTCTCTCTCATCTCTCTCTCCTCTCTCTCTCTCTCTCTCTCTCCTTCTCTACCTCTCCGTTCGATTTCGACAGGTCGCCCGATAAGCATCAATGCGTTGACCTTGCCGCGAACCGCTTATCGGCTGGCGCGATAAGTGCAATATTCGAGGGCACACGAGCGTATAGGCGTTAGAGAAGGAAACGGGCGACGCAATAACAATTAGCATTGTCGAGCAGCTACTATCTGCCAAACAAAATATTGTTACAGACGCAATTAAAAGCTTATCGGTGCAGCCTATCGCCGAGGCAGAGAATTAATTCGGTGCCGCTGTACACAGACCGACACGTCAAGCCGTCGAAAATATATACGTCAGATAAGAGACATCATACGATACACTTGCACTCGTTTTTTGCGCGGAACAAAAAAAATGTACAACCGAGTCGCGCAGCAATCGCCCTTTTTTTCAATAGCGCTATTCAACGATTCCCGAGCTTGCTGCGCCTCCTTTTCATTTTCGCACAACGATCCTAACACCATTTCGGCGTTTAATGTCACAGACAGGCTCGCCAAGTGAGAACGGACGTGCCTGGCAGACTGCGAAAACAGTGATAAGCCACGATAAAGCCAACGCGCATACAAGTTGACAAGCCGCTGCTAGTTTTTCCTCCGTTCGCACAATCGCACAATCGCACAATCGCACAATCGCACAATCACAACGTTCAGACTCACCTTCGCATACGTATTTCTGATTTTTCGCCAATGAATATACGCCGTCAACTCTATTTTCCGGACAGCTTAGGAGGCTGATTTTATTTCACATACAGTCGATGTCTCCAATAAAGTCCAATTTATCAAAGAAAACCTTTTCTAACCCTGGCGTTTGATTGCTGGAACTACCCGAATAAAACTTAATTACCGATTCTCCAATTATCGGCTGATCG